TCTCTACTTAACATGATCATTGCATATTTCAGCAAAGTAGTGCAAACCACTAATCTTATTTAATAATGAGGAAAAAATTTCCAAAGGAATAATCAATGATCACATAAAGGTTTAATTAAAACCAAATTCTGGGTTTACACTGAGTCTGCTAAATATACTAGTGTATATACCGATTTGTTCATTTTGGAACAGCACTACAGATATCTTCCTGATTTAGTTTTTTTTCTCAGCATTTTTATATATTACAAATTAATCATTTAACCCACATTTAAAATATTTGTGCAACAGGAAGAAAATCAAAGATTTGGAGACAGACAAGAAGGAGCTGGTTGGTGTCTTTGGTGAAACTGGGGCTGGAAAGAGCTCTCTAATAAATGCATTCTAATAAATACGATCATTGGAGAGAAGGATCTTTTGCCCACAGAACGTGTCAGTGCATGTACCTCAGCCATGATTAAAGTGGAAACTAACATGGACAGCCTGAAGTATGAGGCAGAGATTGAGTTCATTACAAAAGAGGTAAAATGGGCTGATTATGTTTATGTTGACTTGAAGCTGGTTGAAAAGTGACAATATATCCACAAAAATACAGTTGTTTGTTTACTCTACATGTCATTAAGTTCTTTTGCTTTTTAGGATTGGAAAGATGAGTTGTGGTCCTTGTACCATATTTTTGGGGATAATACAGATCAAGAACAAGATGATGAAGATGAAGATGATGAGAAGGACGCTGTTGAAAAGCTGTCAGCATTGTATGGAGAAGATATTGGAAGAGATTGGAAAAACACATCCCTTGAAAACCTGATGGATGACAGACATTTCAAAGAAATTCCAGAATTTCTCAAATCCCAAAGGAAGATTTTGGCCTGTAAATCAGTAAGTAAGATTTTAAAACATCTTACTTGCATCACTTCATAGAAAACATTCTTGCCTGTTTGGTAGAGTAGATGATATGGGTCTGAGGTTTTCAGCCTAGTCATTCTAGTTTGGTTTAGTTCAACAGGCATTTAACACACGTAAAACTAAAAGCAGTTTATAAAATGTACTTTTTTAAAACAGTGGACTTGATGTAACTGTGCTCAGTAACTAGACATCATCAAATTATCCCTTTATAGGAAAATCACTGACAACTATATAAATCTAAATAACAGTTGTGAGAAATTCCAACATTGTACCTAAACATGTTTTATTAAGGTATTAAATGACAATTTTACTTGAGGCAGTGTTCATGTCAAATAACATACTACCACCTACAGTATCAGGCTGGGATGTAATTAGCTGTTTCTAATGCTTTTTCCATTCCACCTCAAGAACACTTAGGTCATCAGTGGAAGCTGCATTAAGATAATATAGTACACATAATTGTAATAACGTCCAACATAGGCAATGTTGAAATATCACCATATTTAATTGAGATCTTTGATGACAGTCACCCAGAATTGACCGTTTGCCTCCACTTTGGATTTACAGTTCACCCATTTTTGATGTACTGGTAATATTTCTTTCAATGATAGTGTTTAAATTCTCATTTTTAAAAGAAAGTACTACGTCTTCTATTTATACTCTGCTTTTGGGTGTTCCCGTTAAGGATCGCCACAGTGAATCCAATTCACATGAGTAATTTGGCACGGTTTTACACCGGATGCCCTTCCTGACACAAACCTCTCAATTTATCTGAGCATGTGACTGGCACAGAATTCACTTCAGTGAAACCCCTGTGGTTGGTTATATAACCACTCCAATCAACCTAAGCTGCATGTCTTTGAACTGTCAGGGGAACCCAGAGAGAACCTGTGCAGGACATGCAAACTCCGCAGAGAAAGGCACTGTGCCGGCCGCGGCGTTTAACTTAATATTGAATGTTTGCTGGATTTCTGTATTTGTGGCAAAAATGTACATGTACAAAAATATGAATATAAATTTTTCATATTTCAATATTTTTTTATGCTTTTTTTTCATAAATATGTTAAACAACTTCTGACTTGTTCAAAACTACCAAACATTCAATCATTCTCAGGATTTTAACCCTTTAAATGCCAGCTATTAATTTGAATTGGGAATTCTTTATTACAAAAACAAAAACCACCAAAAATGAATTATTTTCCATATAATAAATAGTAGGCGAATGGGGTTTTGGTGGTGAGTAGAATCTTGGATATGTCAAAGATTAGCAACAAAATTGTCAGCATTTCATTTTGAAGAAAAGTAGCATAAGGCTAATCCCCTTTAATGGCGAAGCATGTTACACACAAGGAATTTGTTTCCGGTACAGAACCAATGGCAGCCATCTGCGGCGCCAACTCAACCAATGGCTCTAACCATTGGGGGCAACAGGGGGTTTCAGTGTCTTGCCCAGGGACACTTTGACATGTGCTCTACTGTGTGGATTTTAACTGAAACTAATCGAGCAGCATCAGAAACAGAAGCCTGGGAGATCCTGGAAAGTGCCTGTAGACTCATGGGAAATGGTGGCGAGTGTCAGCGCATTCACTTTATCTGCACCAAGTCTGATGACGTGGGTGGTTGGTAAGTGATTTAACCTGCCACAAGTACATAGTATAACATCCAAATAAAACTCTGACAACTGTGCAGGCCAATGCTCCTCAGGACTAAACACAAGCAAGTGTACACATATTTTACAGTACAGGTTGTACAGTACTAGTAAAATGGGTTTTTGTTCCAGTGTGACACTGCACACTCACAATGCCCCCCCACCCACTCAAAGTGATGGGACACATGGGAAAACTTCAGCTGTAGTTCTCACTAAAACTCCAGTTGCAGTGGGTAGTCTGTTGGTTTGTGATCAGTTGAAGGAGAAAGAGAGGAAGGTGCAGCCGGGCAAACCTGACAGTTACTTTTATGACTCTGGTTGTATGTTTGGGCTTGATGTCTTGCTGCAGAATGAATTTGGTATTAATCAGACACCCCCTGTTGGAATTGTATTATGAACAAGCATGTAAACCTCTAAAGTTCTTAAAGCTTTTGCACAGTGCTGGACATTAAAGTTCCCAGTAACAGATGAATGCCTAATGAGTAACTAATGTGATGGGATCTAACTTTCTACTATCTTTTATTTTAAGACAAGACAGTTAAAAAATGTTTCAGTGCTCTGAATACTGTATGATGTGCCACTTAATACAAAGCTTTTCCTATAGTTCAGCAGCTGATGTTCATGGTCTCATACTTGGAGATAACGAGAAAGCCAAAGGAGAAGTGAAGTCAAAATTCAGCAATCTAAACAAGATTAAGGTGAGTTACACAGACTGACAGAAAATCTAATAAATTATTGTGTACAATACTAAACCTGCCTT